GCCGCGCCCGCTCTCAGCCGCCCCGCGGGCCTCCAGTCCAGGCGTACCCACCCGACATCCGCGACCCCAGACCCCACACCGCGAGGAGAGACCCCTTCCCCACGCCGACCCAGAGACGCCGCACTTGGGGCGTGACCTTATGGCCTGTCGACCTGTCCCTCCCGGCGCTCTTGGCCCACTGGGCCTCGGGGGCCCGAGCCCACCCACCCCTGAGGAGGGCTGAGGCCTAGGGGGCAGGGGCGGCCCGGAGAAGGTGCTTGGCCGGGCGAGTCCCCAGGCCGCCCCCTGGTTGTCACCGCCCCGGGCAGAGGGGCCGGGGCCTCCGCATTCTGAGCGACTCTGTGAATCGTGCCTGCTTGTGCTCAGTTGGTGTTCAATTCCTCCGTTTTCTTTTTGACAAACTAAATTCGGTAATTTATAGGGGTTGTGGCCACTGATTACAAGTTAACTCCCCTGTTGGGAACAAACCCTAAATATCGGGCACCGCTGTGTGGCAGGTTCTGTCCCACTGTTGCTCCTCGGTTCGGTAATCTTCACTGCAACCCAAGGAAGTACTGACCCTGGTCCACAGTCCGGAGACGGCTCAGAAGAGGGGAGTGACCTAGACTGGACCACCAAGGCCGCTCAGTCCCACGCCCTCACGGAAGCACTATGTCACATGCTAAGAGCTTAATGGTTTTGTAATAAAACTTTAAACAAACAGATGTGTGAGCTTCAGGCCCTGACACCCTGTAGCTCCCCCTGCACCCCTCCCGGGCCTTTTGCAGCGTTTCGGGTTTCCCAGCCTTTCTCACGTGGCCCGCACTTTGATCTAGCTCGGGGACAACTCTCAGACCCCGCCTCATTTTTAGCTTTTCTTAAGAGACCATCGAGATTCTTTATCGCAAGTGTAGCCCAACAATCCAGCGGGAAGGGAGGAGGGGCGGCCGGGTAAGGGCCTGGCTGGCACTTGTGGGGCAGAGCCAGGTCCAGAATGGAGGCTGGCCCCAAGTGGCCAAGGACTTCCGGCCAGCCTACGGTGGGGAGGCCCTGCACTCCAAGGGGCAGCTGTGAGCTCTGACCAACCACAGGGTGAGAGCGGCCAAAATCAAGACCTACCCCCACCCGCCCCCCGCCGCCCTAGGGAAAACTGGGGCACGACCCCAAGCCTCACCAAGGAGCGAGGAAAAGTGGGTTCGGGGCAGGCCTCCTAAGATTCGTCAGCTGTGGACACTCCTGCGGGACCCCCATCCTTCCCCGCCTACCCCTCAGCCTTTCCTATCAGACTCAAGTTAAGTTGGCAGATGTCTCTTCAATTTCATGGTTAATTTTCCCTTCCTCACGTGTCTGTGTTTACAGATCAAACTCCGAAGAATCCATAGCCTCAAGGCTCCCTTCTCGTCCAATAATAGATTTTCGCCCCCAGCAGTACCCCCCAGCTTGGAAATGTCGCAGTGAATGACAGGATGTGGGACTTCCCAACAGAGCAGGCCCCTCCCTGTCATTCCTTCATTGAGCCGAGGGTGACCAGCTCTCCAAGCTTCCCCCAAGCAAGGCCTGAGGGGAACAAAGATAACTGTCCACAGAAAAGGAGCGGTCCAGTAGGAAGCCTCACTACAGCAGTGCAGCAAGCGAGGCTTGAGGGGGGAGAGTTAGAGGTGCCTGTGAACCCTGGGTGCCCCGGGAGTGCCCCACCTGAAAGTATGGCCAGCAGTGACTGGTCCCGAGGGACCAGGGGACGGGCATTCCAGGCAGAGTGAACTGCGGTCCCAGAGAGCAGCAGCCCACACTACCTGCCAAGACTCTAGGTCACCTGGTGCGGCCGGAGCCCTGGGAGGGGGGTGAACCGCTGGGGGTTGGATCTCCTATTAGAAAAATGACTTTGGCAGCAGCGTGAAGGGTGAGAGGCGCAGGGGGATCAACGAGGAGGGGCAGCTGCAGGGCCAGGGAGCAGAGGACAGGTGTGTGAGGTGCCCGCTGAGGCCTGGCGGCCGCCTGGCTGGATATGGGAGACTCAGGACGCTCGGGTCTCGGGTGACAGTGGTGCCAGGACCTGGATGCGGATCGGGAGGAGCCAACAGGAGGGGGCGGCCCGGGTGGACCCAGAACGCGCACATCCTGAAGCGACACCTAACCAAAGGAAAGCGTATGCATCCGCGAAGCGCTAGCCTTCGGATAAAGACCTGCGCCGTCCCAGTGGCCGATCACCCACAAGTATTTTGGAGCAGACACTCTGCCCCAGGAGGCAACAAAACTGGCGACATCCTGCGTTGTGGAGCTGACACTCCAATGGGG